CTTAGGTAGTCATCATTTCTGTGTGTTAGGAAAGTCAATATTTATCAGTCAATTGTGTATCAGAGTTTCAATCAGCAGTCAGTTTTCAGAATAACTGAAAGTCATCTTTCAGCTTAGGATGATGGCGGTGATAGGGTACAAAGTACCCTGGATGTCTTGGCATGTTCCAGATTTGCCATTAATGGATTGTGGGGCTTTAGAGGAGATCCAACTCCTGAGTCTGTTGGCTCCTAGGTCAGTTGAGGCCCCCCCACCTACGGGGGTGGGCTGGGGAGGGGAATGTGGAAGGAAGAACATGGAAGCACTCTTCCAAGTGGTAAACACGCGTCCATGAAGGCTGCTGAACCTCAAAGCTCAAAACTCTTGACCAAAGCCCTGAACTAAACACCTAAATTATGTAGACAAGAAATTTTGAATGTTTAATGCACTTTGTTAATTTAAAATTTTGAGATACGGTATTTAGCAAATGTTGTATTTATTGTGATTTTTATCCCCAAAGAGAGAACTTGTCAAGGAATACTATGTTGCATCCTCTCTTAGAAGTTTTATCCCTATAGCTTTCTTAAACAAAGAAGAAAAATAACTGTTCCCTTAAAAATTTTCACAAAAAAAGCTTAATAATGTCAAGGGACATATCTTGGAAAAAGGAAAGCTTTCTAAGAAATGTTATTTAAAAGGCCATTTTCGGGGCACATGGGTGGCTCAGTCGGTTGAGTGTCCGACTCTTGATTTCAGCTGAGGTTATGGTCTCAGGGTCATAGGATGGCCCCCCAAGTCAGGCTCCATGCTCAGCAGGGAGTCTGCTTGAGATTCTCTCGCCCTCCCTCTCTGCCCCTCCTCCTGCTCGGGCACATGATCTCTCAAATAAATAAATCTTAAAAAATAATAAAAGGCCATTTTCTTCACATCTTTTTGTTAGGAGGGGATGTTTCTTATCCTATATAGCAAGGGATGGACTTACAGGATGAGACAGTGATATCTTCATAATTGTAAAAATGGGAGATCTTTGTTGAGTAGGTGAAAGGTTGAGATTTAAGAGAAATTAGTCAAATTGCTACAGTGAAAACTAATGGTCATTTTCCACCCTGCCCCATAAAGTAAGATTCAGGGTCACACTGAGTGGTATTATAGCTGTATTTTAAAAAGAGCTATCTAATTTTATGCCTGTAATAACTTCCATAATTATACATGTTGGAATAATCAAGCCTCATGCTTTGGGGTATAGCCAATTACTGTAGCGATCAAGAGGTAATTTATTTTCTCATGTACATTGCTCACAGTGGGGCAGTTCCATTACACATTCATGAATTCTAGTGTGGTATTGTTAAGGGTTGTTAAGTATAGGCCACTGGATTTGAAGGGCCACAGATTTACGGGAGCAATTCTTTTAAATCTTCATCTGCTTCTTGTGTCTGTTACTTTAAAAGGAGTTCTTAGGAACAAATAGGCTTATGCCTATCCTTGACTACAAGACAGATTTTTGGATACACCTTGCCGGTGAACACATTAGACATAGAGCCAAATCCTTCCTGACTTTCCCTCTGAGTCTACCTTTGGAGAGAATGTGAATTGCACTTTTGAAAGTGAGATCCTAATTTTGAAGAGAATTTGAGGTCATTTAGGGCAGTTCTCACTTGAGTGGGGAAATCGTTATGTAATAAACCAGAGTAGTGGTCACTGTTGAAAATAAGCTTTGGGAGCCCCTGGCATAAAACATGTTGTTATTCTAAAGTTCTGTCATATTTGCAACTCTCAGCTTCTGGATAATTGTTATAATTTATAATTTACATACACCAATAACAGGTGTATGTTACTTTGCTTATAGGTATCTGATACCTTGATTGCTACCATACCATTTCCTGATCAAAACTATTTCTGTAGCTTTACCATGAATTTTATACCTTTCCCCTCGTTATATTTTTGAAGCATTCAAAAAATAAAACTGGCAATGTCCTTACATTTGAATATGTGTCTTTAGTAAGGTCTTTTGATTTGGCTCATTATATGTCTTAACTGCAACTCTGTGCTCATTTTTTTCTTACCTGACAGTCTTAAGCTAGTGGCTTAAAAAGTTTTTGAAAGTAAGTTTTGACCATAATCTAGAAGTGGAACTACATTTTGACATCAACAATCAGTAATATCATGTGTATGCACACACAATTGAAAAACAAAATGTCATAAAACAGCCTTAAGGAGGACGGATACGCCCTGCTGTGTTCCGCTCTGCTGTCTTCAGTGAGCATGTAGGGTGGGGCTGGGGGAGGGAGCTGGTTGTGATCCACTGTGTCGATTTCATAACCCACTCCTAGAGTTGAAAAAAACAAGGCTAAAATTTTTGTTCACAGTGTCTTTTGTTTCTCTCTCTGCTTTCTTAACACGGATTTTATTTTGTACAAACCTCTTTCACTCTTGTGGATGTGCTGCCTTTCTATACTTGCTCTATTGTAACAGTACCTGTGAAGGACGATCAAGAGAATGAGGCCTGTTGTCATTCTGTTCTGTCAGCAGAGGATGCCCTTTCCTGTACGGCATCACCAGATTATCTGTGCAAGGAAGAAACTGAGGCCACCTAGGGAGCTTCCTCCATGGCCCTGCAGAGCCCTTACATTATGCTAATCCAAACCGTAGTCTTTCCAAAAGATGTGGTCCAAAGAGTGGACTTTGTGGGTGGATCCTCAGCAGCCGTCCTCCCCTCAGCCCCCAGCTGACCAGTCTGTCCCTATAAGTAGCTTAAGAAAGGGCAGGCAATAAGTAAGTGTGGACCTGGAGCGTCACGGAAGGCCTGCTGGGTGCCTCTAAGAAAAAGCTAGAACAGGAAGATGAGCTTCCCCTCTCTGGTGCCTGTGAACAGGGAAACCTCTAGCCCCACCATCAGTGGCAGTCACTCATCAGTCTCTGGAGAACCAGCCCTGGAATCAAGCTGACACTGGACAGCAGATTAGAGAAGCCCAAAGAGCTTGGTCCTTAGGGATACTGTCGAAGTCTGAAACTGCCCTGCTTTTGGACCTCCTCTTGTAAAGCTATTTAAACCAATTTGATGTTAGTTTGCTCTTACTTATTGAAAACAGACTCCTTAGCGTGGACACGTCTGTCCTTTCAACTGACCATTCATGTGTGGAAGCGCAAAACTCCCACGATTATAGAAGCCACAAAACACGGTTGAATCAATTAACAGAATATTCTAGCATGTTGTTGTCTCTGCCTTGTAGCAGAACTCAGGCTCCAGCTTAGTCCTACCACTCCTAGCCCAGGTGACCTCAGTCCCCATTTAGAGGTTCAGTGTTCAGCGATGACATTTATACTCAGTCAAACAAAAGGCTGGGCTGGATGAAGAAAAGACTCTGACCTCATTACCCTTCAGTGGTGGTAGCAGGGCTGTCGGTGTCCTGGGCACTGGCTTGCATGGCGTACACCCAATGATCCACCCTCAGTCCACACCCACATATGGGACCAGGCTGCATCCAATGGAGAATACGTGGTCAGCGTGTCTGTCGGCCTGACCACAACAACTCAAAGCCTACTTCTGATATGTGCAAGAATTATTACCAGGAGCCAGGAACTTGACCAATGTCCCTGGACACTTTGTTTCTAGTGTGCTTTGTATTAGTAATCATGAACAGAATTCTTCCTAGTTACTAAAACCAATCCAGGCTGGAAATACATTGCAGGGAAGGTGTGAAGCCACTTGAAAGTAAGTGCTTTCAGTGCAACTCCAGTTTCATAAAATTTTACTGATTCTGAGAAGCAGGCAGAGGCCAACCCTGCAAAGGGCTGTGTTTTCTTGACCCATGTGTGACGAGCTCAAGGAGAGGTCATTCAAAACAAATAGAGGGGGAAAAGACCTGATGACCAAAGGAGCTCAGCCTGCCCCTGCCAGGCTCTCTTCAGGCCTGGCTTCTTTCTTGCCATTTCCATGAATAAGAAGGAAGGTCTTTGCATATTGTCTTCATCTTGTATTGTCACAGAGCAGGGCCCGTTACTTATTTTCACTTTGTACAGTGCATGCCCTTCCCCCATGGGGTTATGGTTTCCAGTCCACCTTCTTGAATGTTTGGTTTGTGCTTTACCCCTGAACTCTTTGGGAAGTTGGAATGGTCTCCATGTGACTGGTGAAAACACCAAGGCTTGGAGCCTCTGACGTGAGTGACTTTACCCAGGGCCTGTGTGCTCTCATTTCTGGGCCACAGCTTGGCACAGAACTGCTTCCTCCCTAGAAACACAGCCTTTGCTGAAGCCCAGGGAGCAGGTAGGCAAAGCAGATACCATGGGAAGCTTGGGGAGTGTGGTCGTGGCATCAAAGCTGTTATTTCTCTAGCCCCTGGGTGCATCCACCCTTAGGCCAGGTGGATGGCTTCACTTGAGTTATTCCAACCAGGCCCCATGAACCTGTAAAATGGGCTGGACAAAGAGAAGGTCAGGGAAGGAACAGCAAGCGAAATTGACTAGTAGAAATTGGCTGAAATCGAAGAACCGTGGGAAGGACAGGTACGAATGAGTTACAGGTAAACCAGATGGGTCCTTGCCCAGTCACATAGGAACTGTGGAGGATCTTAGTGGCCCCTGCCACTTCCTTTTATAAAACTGATCCATTAGGTTTTATCTATAACCCAGGTGGTTTTTATTAGGGTAACTACTGACTGAGAAATCAAAGCCCCATTACCTCTTCTTTTCAGCGTCAGAAATAGGATGTTATATGGTACAAGAGACCTTCAGATGACTTCCAGATGCGTAATTCTACCTGGAGCCCAGAAACTGACAGTGGCCAGTGGCGCACAGCAGATTGGGGAAGCTCCCACTACCTGGTGCCGAAGTCTTGCTGTGCTTTTTAAAGGCTCAGAGGCTCTAGAAGGCCCGCTTAAAGTAGGTCTGATAATGAAAGTGGTTGCATTGGAATTGAGCCCTCAAAAATTAATAAAAAGATCTGTCTAATCACTTAGTTTGAATCATTAATTAAATGTTCAATGCAAACATTTTAAAGGAGAAATTGCAAACTAGAAAAAAAAATTCCCCTGAAAATATTTAATGTAAATAACTCCTTGAGATGGTGCTTTTTACAAAAGGTTTGTCGCAAATGCCGTTTTGTTTAGAGGACAGGACATCAGGAAATGATATGATCGTTTTCTATTTCAATGAGAGTAACAAGGAATCCCACCTGCCCCACCCCCATTCTTGCTCTATGTATAAATTTGTCCAGCATGATGAGCAGCAGTCATCAGCGGGAGGTGGCTGAGCCCCAGGTGCCCAGAGAGTTTCTTCAAGCCACTACTGTGCTCCCTCACTGTGTCCAGAGCCACTGGCCAAGACCACCAATTCACTTTCTGATTATATCTTTTCTGTCTTCGTATCTTTCAAGGCTTTGGTAATACAGCCGAAGGGTAACCATGTTGAAAACAAGCACAGGTTCTTTTACACGTAACACTGTCAGCTCATGTTGGGTAAACACAGGAAGGCACACAATAAATTACAGCAGACCCTATCTCTTCAGAGGGTTTGTGGTGACCTCCAGGGTGGGGGCTGGGCCTGCCGGCAGCCGAGCATCCAGCACTGGGGTAGTGTGAGGACCACCCCGGGAAGGAGGGGGTCCTTCCTTAAGTCATGTCCGTATACAGGTCTCATGATCAATTGGAGGAGAAAATCCTTGCCTTATCCAGTGCAGTGCGGCCTCTGCAGTAAGGAGGACCCTCCCCTCTGAGTGCCGCTCACCTGCCCACTTGGCCAGGTCCATCCGTGTTGGCACAAATCAATTGTACGTACACCCTTGTTGAGAACTGGTGGCAAATTAGTCCACAGGACTCCATCTGCTCCTTACTTAAGTAAATCACTTGGAAAACATAAAACTGGAGGTTGTAGCTCAGTAAAACAATAAAGTGCTTTCGATGAGGGTAGCTGTTATTTACCAGTTGTTTCTCGTTTCGCCTGAGGCACTGACATCAGTGCTATGGAAGGTGATAATGTTTACCACTGGTAAAAACTGTAAAAGCTTGTTTCCACTAAAAAGCCTGCATTTCTAAAATGTACTTTTTTCCTCTTGTTTCCATGTCTTCACGTTACTAAACGTGGTCTCACTACCCGGTAAGGAGATCGTTTATGCTGGGGTGGGGCGGGGTCGGGCGGCTGGAAGACACAAGAATAGAAAAGGAGCGGTTCATAAATATTCCTTAGGGGTTCCACTTGTGACGGTGAGAGAGGGGGTTATGGCAAAAAAGATGAGGCCCCGTGCTGAATCCAGATATGAGTCCCGAGGAGTAGAGACACAGATTGGCTTCTGGAAGGGTCCACATTCAACCTAAGACTTTATTCTGAGTCCACATGCTTGATAACTGCTATAACACACTTGCATCTTCCATGGCCTCGATCCACCTGTAAAACAGAGGAGAGGGCACACTTAGGTGTCACAGCTCTGAGACTCTGGTCAGAGAACCTAGAAGTGACCAGGTGGACTAGGTGACTATTAGCCTGACATTGGGGACCATGTCATATTCATATTTGTTTCCCTAGCATTTAGCAAAAGGTCTGCTGAATCAAAGCATGCCTGTATGAACGAATCATGATAATCTTTAAAAAATCTTACAACCAGGAACAGGTTCTGTTCTGCTGTTCTTCTGTGGCCCGAAGGGGTTAGATGGTACAGGAGGCTGGAGCAGAGAGAAGCCAGAGCCCTGGGTAGCAACTTGTAGAGGGAGAGGCAAGGAGATACAGGCCTAGTTATTTGGGTACCTTTGAGCTGAATTGGTATCCTCTGCTTTGAAGCTATAAAATAGGGTTTTCTTGTGGTAGAGGTGAAAAATAGGTCCTACTTCACTGCTGCCCTCTTCCTTCTCTGGGGCAATGGTGAAACCAAGCAGAGGCATACTCTCCATGGCCACTGTGTCCTGCAGAGGGCAAAAGGGAAAACGATATTACACACGGCACTACACACAGTCAACTGCTCAGCATTTACTGTTACCTCCGATTTCAGGTGCACGACGAGCCCTTCTGTGTGAGGCATGGTTGGGCAACAGTGGAATAACCACACACATACTGTTCACCCCCTCTTCCCGCCAGGACCAGTCATGAGGAGAGAAAGAAACTTAACATTCTGTCACAGCCTATTAGGGTCCAGGCATTTTCATCTTTATATTATCTTGTTGAATCTTCACAACATCACAGAAGGTGTCACTCCTGTTCTAAGAAGACACTGAAGCTCAGAGAAGGTAAATAACTCCCTAAGATCACACAGGTTAGTCAGGAGCAGAGCCAGAATTTGGACTCATGACCACCTTCTAACACTGCATTCTTTCTGCTGACTTGATTAGTCAGAGACTCTGTTTTCCAGAATTATTCCAGATGATCTCCCCAATACTGATTCCCCCACAGCCTATCCACGACGTCTCAATGTGGAGCACGTAGGGTGTCTGTGCTATAAAGTTGTTAATACTGTGATGAGACCTTCACAGAGAACATAAATGGATCTTAAATTCACAGTACTCAGTGGAAAAAGAGATTTTTGTATATAAACATATATTTACACATACATACTTATGTGAAAATACATGCTCATAAAATACAACTTTATGAAACCACACATAGACAAAGAGATAAAATTAGTTAAGCAATTAGTTAAGATATAATTAGCTAAGAAGGCTGTGGGAGGAGAAGGAGGAGGAGTTGAGGTTGTGTATAAAACGAAATCAACTTTCAAAGACCGCTGGATCAGGAAAAGCATCTAAACTCAGTATCGGTTCATGATTAAAAAAAAAAAACCCTCAGCAAACTAGAAGGGAACTTCCTTAATCTGAGTGCATCTATAAAATACCTACAGCTAACATCCTACTTAATAGTAAAATACTGAATGCTTTTCCTGTAAGATTGGGAACAAGGCAAGAGGGTGCTCGCTCCTACCAATTAAACTCAAAATTGCACTGGAGGTCCTAGTCATTGCATTAAGGCAAGAAGAAGAAAAAGTTCAGAAAAAGAAGAAGTTAAACTATCTGTGCTTGCAAAGGACTTGTCTGACTGTAAAACAACTACTAGAACCAATAATCAATTTAGCAAGGTCACAGGATAATCAATTTTTTTATATCTGCTTACAGCAAACAACTGAAAATAAACTCCATTCAAAATAGCATGCAGGGGCGCCTGGGTGGCTCAGTCGTGAAGCGTCTGCCTTCGGCTCAGGTCATGATCCCAGGGTCCTGGGAT